CTGAAAGAAGTTGCTGGACGTACCAGGTTTCGTGCATTTCGAGAATCTAGAAAAGGAAAAGAAAAAAACTTGTTATGGTTACTTCATTAAGTAGCAGTTACAAAAGAAGAGAAAAGAAAACTAGCATATTATACATTTGTATGGTTTATAGGTACTGATATGCTGTATATATCTCAGATTTATTTCTATGGTTTTCTATATCAGAGAGTTTAGTTGCATCTTGTAAGTAATTTTTTCAAAAGTATACTGTTTTGATAGTTTTAAAGTACAAAACAAACTATTTTTGTAAGAAGAGATTATTGCTGTTGTTTTGCTCCTTGGTTATAGCTAGTGCTTGGTTTGAAGGTGGTCTACCCTTCTTTTTTCTGAGATTATTTATGAGCTTGTTAAGTTCTAATCCTCCAGATGCTTTTCACAATAATTACTCCTTTAATATTTTATGCTATGCTTTGAAACTCAATTACTTTTATTTTGTTCGAAGTTATTATGCTTTATAATTTGAATTTCAAAGTATCTGATTCAAATTTAATCATTTAAAAACTTATAGGTGTAGCCATATTCATGATGCAACGTAGTTTAACTGCATATACCATGAAAATATCTATATCTAATCTGTTTGATCATTATTAATCTTCAGTGATAATGATGATTCACTTAATTCATGTCTAAAAGTAGTAGATTAATATGAAATGGTGTCTAAGGATGGATTTCATGAAATTTTACTAAGTTACTGACCAACTGTTTTTCCATGTCAGAAATTCAACCAAACAAAATTCTGTTGTGTTGGTCTAAAGGTGAAGTTCTTGAGAATTCTTTGAAATTTTGAGGACTGTTGCTTGTTCAATCACAATAATGGCACTAGCTGCTACTTCAAAAGTTGTTCTTGGATCAGTAGCCTTTTTAATCTTCTGGGTACTAGCAGTTTTCCCAGCTGTGCCTTTCTTACCCATTGGGAGAACTGCAGGGTCTTTGTTGGGTGCAATGCTTATGGTCATATTCAAAGTTCTTAGTCCAGATGAAGCATATGGTGCAATTGATCTTCCAATTCTTGGTCTTCTTTTTGGGACAATGCTTGTTACTATTTTTCTTGAAAGAGCAAACATGTTCAAGTACTTGGGGAAATTGCTCTCTTGGAAAAGTAGAGGACCAAAGGACTTACTCTGCAGAATCTGTTTGATTTCTGCTATATCAAGTGCTTTCTTCACAAATGACACCTCTTGCATTGTGCTAACTGAATTTGTGCTGAAAATTGCAAGGCAGCATGACCTCCCACCCTACCCTTTTCTTCTTGCACTTGCTTCAAGTGCTAATATTGGATCTTCAGCAACCCCTATAGGGAACCCCCAAAATCTGGTTATAGCAATTCAGGGTAAAATATCATTTGGGAAGTTTCTGATGGGTATTTTTCCAGCTATGATTGTAGGAGTTGTAGTGAATATTCTTTTTCTCATAGCCATGTATTGGAAGGTACTATGTAGTCCTAAGGATGAAGAGAATCCAATTTCAGAAGTTGTAGTAGAAGAGGAAGCTGTTTCCCATCAGTTTTCTCCAGCCAGAATGTCTCATTTGACACCTTTGAATCCTCAAGAATGCAATGGAAGTGTAGAACTTGGTAATACTGTTCAAAACTCTTCTCATGCATTGGTTTCTTCTCAAGTTCATGTTATTAAAGACCAATCAGCAACAAGTGAAAGTGAAGTTCAGATGGTTCATAGTGGCACAAAGGAGGAAACCAATCCTTCAAAAAATGTTGCAATAGTAGTAGATAAACCTGTTGTGGCACATGTTGTGCAATCTTCAGAAGGAAAGGACTATATGAATGTAAAATGGAAAAGGGTACTGTGGAAATCTTGTGTTTATGCAATCACATTGGTAATGCTGATTGCAATGCTTATTGGTTTGAATATGGCATGGACTGCAATTGCAGCAGCAATAACTTTGGTGGTTCTTGATTTCAAAGATGCAGGGCCAAGCTTAGACAAGGTAAAAATCTCTTTCTATATTTTACATGCTAGCTATTGTTTTTTTTGTGCCAATTGAACTTCAAACCAATTCTTAGTGTGGTTTTATTTCTTGGAACAGGTATCATATTCACTTTTGATATTCTTCTGTGGAATGTTTATCACAATAGAAGGGTTTAAGAAAACTGATATTCCAAGTGCTATGTGGGATGCAATGGAGCCCTATTCTCGTATAGATCATGTTAGTGGAACAGCTATTCTTGCTGTAGTTATACTTGTCCTGTCAAATTTGGCTTCCAATGTTCCAACTGGTAAGCAAGCACATGATCATCTGCTAAAGCAATACTTTTTTCCTTTACAACTTGCTCACATTCATGTTTATGAGAAAGTCCGAAAATTTGACCTTATTTAGTTAATGGTAGATATTAAAACAGACGTAAAATTAGATTTAGTTCTTATCCAAACTTTTATACATTTTTGTCTTCAAACTTTAAAAATAAATCGATACATATGATCTTTTTAATTTTAAGTTGTTCAATATGTTCTAATTCAAATATTATTATGAAATTCTGGTTAAGAAGTTAAAAAATTAACTTCATTAAATTAAAAAAATTATATTTATTTATTTTAAAAGTTTAGAGAGCATAATATATTAAGTACTAAAATAGAGATAAATTTTAATTTTAAGTTTAAAAACTAAAAAGATATTTAATCCTATTAAAATTTATTGAGATTCATTTTCATTTGATGCATCACAATCTTGTGTTCATAATTTGTAGTTCTATTGCTTGGAGCAAGAGTTGCAGCCTCAGCTGCTGCAATTTCGAAAGCAGATGAACAGAAGGCATGGCTAATCTTAGCTTGGGTGAGCACCATAGCAGGGAACTTTTCATTGTTAGGATCAGCTGCTAACTTGATAGTGTGTGAGCAAGCTCGTCGTTCTCCAAACCATGGATACACTCTAACCTTTTGGACTCATCTCAAATTTGGACTTCCTTCTACTCTTATAGTCACTGCAATAGGGTTGACACTCATAAGATAGATGAAAAGAATTTTCTAATCTTCAAACAACATTGTTGTAGAAGAAGTTTACACAAGTAAAGTCAGTTCACTGTAGTATATTTTAAGGTTGTCACAAAAATATATAGATAGATGAACAAGCAATTAATTTTCTCTGTTTCTGTTGTTAATGTCGTCAAAGTAACTGTAATGTCTTTGGTGAAAGTTTGTAACCAATGCTTTGGAATTTCATGTTGTAATAAATGTTAGTTTGGGAGATATCTAAAATCTTTGCTACAACAATTTACTTTTCTTTTCTAAACTATTTTGATATATTTATCAGTCTAACTTTTAAAGACAAAATAAAAATATTAAACTCCAAAATAATACCGATTAATTCTGCTAATGTTATTTTAGTAAAGTTAATATTGGAATATTAAACCCATGACATTTTACTCCATTGATTAAAAAATCATAAGTAATACATCAAACCTTTTTTTACTGTTACACGGCATGGAATCAGAAAACATAATACCTACCTTTTGGAGGATAGAATATGATAAAAAGATTGAAAAAGACTCAATTCAAAAAATATTAGAGAAAAATGTGATAGGGATTTTCAAGTTCATCTTTTCAATGCGATGAACTTTATACTAACATATCTTTACTTTTATCTAGAGATATGGTGGAAGAATAAATTAAAAATAATATTATTTAAGGGCAACATGCACATAAAAAAGTAATACTTTAAAAATGAATAACAGAATAAGCAAAACTAGTGGAAGTGGAGCCCAAAAAAACATCAAGCAGTCAATCCGTACAATTGAAGAGTTAGTTGTTGTGGAAAATCTAAGTGAGCACAACCAAAGATGGAACATGCCATCACTGTCATCTTCAGTGTGACAGCACACAAAGCAAGTTGCTTCCCCAATGGCACATATATTAAAATATATATTTAGTATTTTACAAAATTGTTATATCACTTTTTAATATATTTTGTCACCATCTATATTGATGTATTTTCCTCTCTTGGTAGTTCTCTTTTATAATATTTTATTTCAGTATAACAGAAAAAAAAATTCATGTTTTTTGACATGTAAACAGTAAAGAGTAAAAAGAGTTATTCCTAACTGGAATATTTTAATATAATTATATTTTTTGGTCATAAGGTTGAATTTTATTTATCACGCTCAATTTAACTGTATAATAGCTTTATCATCACAGATAATTTTATATTTTATCGTTTTAATGTTATTTATAAGTATATTACTTTATAATAATTTAAAAATATGGAAAATGTATTTTGAGGCATTTTCTGTAATAAATAATTACTTTTAAATTACTGAATTGAAAATATATTCCGACGCAATTTAATTATATTTACATTAATTTAAAATGCTGAGAAAAAAATAATGAATAAATAAAACTAATTTAACTCAATTTAAAATGCTGAGAAAAAATTAAATAAATATTTAGAAACAACTCCTTTAGAAGTTTTTCATGTTTGATCATCTAACAAAGTTGACAACCTATAAGTTGTGACAAACTTGTGACACTGAGTTCAAAAAGTTTCAAAATTAAAAAATATATTTACCAACTCAAAATTTTTTTGCATAAAGAATTATATAAGACTAATTTTCCATTGTAGTAATATGCAGAGATAACGTGAGACCAAAAAATATATTTTCACAAACATTATTTATTTTCAAAATTATAAAATATTTTCAGATTATCAACTTGTTGAAGTCAAGTAATTCAAAACCAAAAAATGTAAACCATTAAAATTAATATTTTAAGAAGTGTCACTATTTGATGATGATGATAATAATAATAATAAGGCTTAATTGTTGAGTGGTTTCCATTGTTTTTACTTGGTTTTCTTTTTTAAATAAGTATCAATTTTGTTTTCAAATACATTAATGTGCATCAATCAATTCGATTTTTGTTTAAACATTTAAATAATTCACGTTGACTTATTGAGCATGTTGTGGTGGAAATTTTGTAGTGTCGTGATATTGGTTTCTTAAAGTGTAACCCATAAGGGATTTTTGATGTGGAAATTTGAGATTAGGGTTTAGAAAAAAATTAATCAGTGAACCTTTTACGAATTGGAGATTCCAACCGCAAAGAAGAGAAACAAGATTGGAAATTTCATTAACTGCAAAGTGAAAGTGGAAAAGCTTTCTTTGACAGTGAAGTGAGTTCCATTGAAGGTCGAAGGTGCGTATGTGTTGAACATATATGATTTTTGTGTGTCTATTTTGGGCTTTCTAATGTGGAAATTTGGGATTAGGGTTGAAAAAAAAAATAGACAATGGACATACAAATTGGGGATTCCAACAGCAAAGAAGAGAAGTGAAATTGGAGATTTCATTGACGGCAAAGTGAAAGTGGAAAATCAAGTTTTCTTTGATAGCAAAATGAGTTCCATTGAAAATCAAAGGTGTTTATGTGTTCAATATGTATGATTGTGTGTGTCCCAACGAACAATATTGGTTGCATGACATTGCACCTATTCAGGAACATACTTCATAAAGCAGCTTGTAAGGACAGGAGACTAGGACAAACTTCAAACTTCACTTGGGGTTCAAACTTCAATTAAAGCAAGCTACAAACTTCTCCATTAAAAGGACACATGAAGAACATCATTGCACAATGCATTTACACATTCTTACTTGTTACACATGTGTTTTGTCATATCATGACACTGTTTTGGCACATTACCACAGAGTTAATGTAGTTTCTAACAATTTGATGGAATGATCTTAGTTGATGCATATTAATGCATTTGAGAGGATAAAATTAACGTCTCTTTTAAATATCAAATAAATACATTGTCCTAAAAGTGTAAATCACTCGAACAATTAAGTATAATAATAATACATAAGTTTTTAATTAATACGTTTTAAGAAATAACTTAGTAAACTGAAAACAATTTCATTTAAGTATATATTAAAAGTAATTATTCTAATAGACTATGTGGGCTATTAATATTTTTTTACATAGCTTTAAATTCATTTTTTTATTGCAGAGAGATTTTCGGCATTTTGTACACTTTTTTAACAAACTATTTTATGGCACCTCCATATTTTTTCTTTTAATTTATTTTATTTCTTAATCATAAATTTAACATTTTAAAATTTTGGGTAAATGAAATTATGGTAGATATTTTATATTAATTTACTCACATTTATTAGTAATGAATTTTCATAGTTAATTTGCTCAAAAGACACCCATTATTACCACATAAGCATTAATCTCGTGATTACCTAAATATGAGATTCATTAATTATATTTGATAAATAATTTTTTTAATCACCCCAATGTAATTATATCATTTTAAAACCTGAAAAAAATAGTATTTTAAAAGTGGTGATAGTTTAAAAATAGTTAGACTCGATTATTTTAATATTAGAGGAGTTATTTATAAATAATTTTGTTATAAACGAGTTCATTATTTTAAAAGGTATTATCCTTCTAGAAACCATTTTAAAAGGTATTATCCTTTTAGAAACCACATTTTTAAAAATCACATTTTTAGAGTTCTCTACTTTCTCTCTAAGAATTCTAACTCCTCAATCATCTGTTTAACGATCAGGAGGTACCTAGGAGATCACGACGAAGTAATCTCCAATTATATCCAATCAATTATTTGTTTAGAGCAAATAAGTTTCTATATCCCCTTTTCCTTTTAATTGCAGTATGATCAAACAAAAAAAAATCTGTTTTTGCATGTATCAAAAGTGTTTCTTTCTTGACTCTTGGTCAATTTGAGGTTCTAAGGTTTGATTTTGATCACCAATCGGTGAGTTGTAAGTTTTTCTAGAGTTCCTTGCGGTGTAAGGGACGGCTTGGAGTTCCTAGAGTCGTAGGAGTTCTTTCTAAAGTAAGGGAAGCTAGATGTGTGCTTTTAATTGATGTTGGGTAAATGTGTTTGATGCTTGTATGTTTGTTAAATTGATTGAGTTTAGAATTTCAAGAATTTTGTTATGCTAATTTAGGTGATTAAATATGTTTAGTTAATTTGATGATTTGTTCTAACTGTGGTTAAATTTGTGATGTCGTTGCTTCTATGAATTATATGTTATAAATTTGTTTGGATGGTTCTATTTGACTGCCAAGTTGTTTAGAGTGGTAAATGATTAAATAATTGGGTTTTAAGGCTAAAAATGGAGGGTTTTAATAGGTGAACGGTGAGACATGTACTGGTGAGAGGAAATAGTTTTTCCACTTCTGTTATGGGGTCAATTGAAACTTGTTAGAAGTATGTTTTTGGTGGAAATTGATATAGAACCAAAAAGGGTTGTCAATGGTTAGTGTTTGAGTTGTTTTGAGTGCAAATTGGGGGTTTGGTTAGTGAAATTTTTATGTAAGGGGCTGAGACTAAATTGGGGAGTTTAAGGTTTGTATTTGAGTCATTTAGGACTTTTCTAGGCCTTTAGTTTGCTGAAATTTGTGTGGGAAGTCATAGAAGTGAGTTTAGTTAGTCTAGAATGGTCAATTTGGGTTTGGAATTGTCAATTCAAGTTAGAGGTATGTTTTTAGATGTTTCTCAGTGCCTAAGAGTGTTTAGGAATCATTTAAACTTGTGTAAAGGGTCACCAAATTCAAAATAGAAGAGTTTTAGAACTTGGTGCAACGTTGGGTGCCCTTTTTACGAGAGGAACTCGCTTGAGCGCCCTCAGGCACCCCCTAAGTGCCCCTCAGCCAGTTTTTTTTTTTTTTTTAGTTTTGGGATCTCAAATTCAGGGTTTTGAATATCAGTTTTGGACGTTTAGGTCATTTTGAAGGTTTTGGACCCTTCTGAAGTTGTTGGTGAGGGATTAAGTTGCTATAAAGAAAATTGTGTTATTGTGTAATTTCTTATGACTTGTAAGGGTGTTTCTATTTCTTTAATGTATGATCAGTAGTCTCATGTATTTGTATACTATGTGAATGTGAAGTGATCTCAATGGTTTCAAAGGTATAGAAGAGAGTTCCAAGGAGGAATTTCTTAGTGTTGGTTTCAAGTATTGTAAGTGTGAATATGGGAAGCTCAGTCTTGGAATTCATCCTGATATTCTAATGGTCATCCATTCTCAAGTATAGAGAGGTGAGACATGTCATGAGAATAGAATGAGATCCTAGTATAGGGGTTTTACCTTGGTCTAAGACGAGTGATAAAGGACTAACTTTGTGTGATAACTTGGGATGGGTCAGCTGTTTCACCACAACAAGTGCACGAACTTTCATAGTTCGATGTTCATACTAATCCGGATACTCAGTCAAAGGGT